CATCCTAGCCAGAGCTTTGTCAAGTCTGGCCTTAAAAACCTCTAAGGCTGGAGATTCCATCACCTCCCTAGGTAACCCATTCCAGTGCTTCACCACCCTCCTAGTGAAATAGTTTTTCCTAATATCCAACCTAGACCTCCCCCACTGCAACTTGAGACCACTGCTCCTTGTTTGGTCATCTGCCACCACTGAGAACAGCTTAGCTCCATCCTCTTCGGAACCCCCCTTCAGGTAGTTGAAGGCTGCTATCACTCTTCTCTTCTGCAGACTAAATAAGCCCAGTTCCCTCAGCCTCTCCTCATAAGTCATGTGCCCCAGCCCCCTAATCATTTTCGTTTCCCTCCACTGGACTCTCTCCAATTTGTCCACATGCTTTCTGTTGTCGGGGGCCCAAAACTGGACGCAGCACTCCAGATGTGGCCTTACCAGTGCCGAATAGAGAGGAATAATCACTTCTCTCGATCTGCTGGCAATGCTCCTACTAACGCAGCCCAATATGCTGTTAGCCTTCTTGGCAACAAGGGCACACTGTTGACTAATATCCAGCTTCTCATCTACTGTAATCCCCAAGTACTTTTCTGCAGAACTGCTGCTTAGCCAGTCGGTCCCCAGCCTGTAGCAGTGCATGGGATTATTCCATCCTATGTGCAGGATTCTGCACTTGTCCTTGTTGAAGCTCATCAGATTTCTTTTGGCCCAATCCTCCAATTTGTGTAGATCACTCTGGACCCTATCCCTACCCTCCAGCATATCTACCTCTCCCTCCAGCTTAGTGTCATCTGTAAACTTGCTGAAGGTGCAATCCATCCCATCATCCATATCATTAATGAAGATGTTGAACAAAACTGGCCCCAGGACCGACCCCTGGGACACTCCGCTTGATACCGGCTGCCAACTAGACATTGAGCCATTGATCACTACCCGTTGAGCCCGACGATCTAGCCAGCTTTCTATCCACCTTATAGTCCATTCATCCAATCCATACTTCTTTAACTTGCTGGCAAGAATACTGTATCAAAAGCTTTGCTAAAGTCAAGATATATCACGCCCACCACTTTTCCCCATATCCACAGAGCCAGTTATCTCATCATAGAAGGCAATCAGGTTGGTCAGGCATGACTTGCCCTTGGTGAATCCATGTTGACTGTTCCTGATCACCTTCCTCTCCTCCAAGTACTTCAAAATGGATTCCTTGAGGACCTGCTCCATGATTTTTCCAGGGACTGAGGTGAGGCTGTAGTTCTGTAGTTCCCCAGATTCTCCTTCTTCCCTCTTTTAAAAATGGGCACTATATTTGCCTTTTTCCAATCATCCGGGACCTCCCCCAATCGCCACGAGTTTTCGAAGATAATGGCCAATGGCTCTGCAGTCATATCAGCCAACTCCCTCAGCACCCTCTGATGCATTGCATCCGGCCCAATGGACTTGTGCATATTTCACACCAAAGAGCCACCTAATAAAGTCTGGGATTTTCAAAGAGACCAAAGGGAGTTGGGTGCCCCAACTCCCATTGACTTTAAGTGTTTTTGGATGCCTAACTTCCTTCAGCCCCTCCAAAAATTCCAGCCAAGGACTGAAACATGGTGAACCCATTTTCATGGTTACTTTGTGGTGTAAGAATTTTTGCAGCCCTATGCCATTGCTGTGAGGAAGATTTCCTTCTCTAGTATATTATCCAGCAGAACTGTTTCTGTGGTTGAAAGCCTGGCTAATGCAGGCTCTCTCCATCCAATTACAAATAACTCCTCCCTTCACTGTGAAGAGTTTCATGTCTACTTTGCAGATAAAATTGATGCATGCTGTAGTGTGAGGAGGGTTGTATTAGAATGGGATAAATGGACCATCTTCTCTGAATTTTAGCCATTCTCTTTTATGGGGATTTTGGAGTTATTGGGAGAGATGTGATCAACAAAAAGTGAGATGGTGCACAGCCCTTGCTGGTTAAAATGGGGTAGGGGGCAGATTTAAGGTGTATAATTGGAGAAAACTACCGAAGCCTCCCTGCAGGAGGGCAAGATGCCAGGGTGGCTGGGACAGCCTCTAGTTGTATTTGTGAAACATAGATTGTATTAAAAAAACTAAAACTTTTAGGGAAGTTCTGCCCCTGAATGCATGAAAAGCTCCCATTGATCCCAAAGCCACTTGAGGGGGGAATGTGACTCTGTATGTCAAAGGAAAACAACACAGTAATAATAAATAACATGCTCAAAGAACAAGGGGGAAACGCTTAACCCAAGATGCAGTTGATGTCTTGACTCTCTTTCCTATCTTCCTAAAACATGCTCTGGCTGTAAGATGTTGAGCTGTTAGATGTTTCGCCACTGAATATGCATTTACATAGATAGTAGAGACTTGTTTGAAAATCAGCATCTTGTACAAATGCAGATTATTTTGCAACTAGGACAAACTGGATGACAGTTCATGGTCATTCAAACTCCAGCAGTTAATTTTGAAAACTCATTTAGCTGCCTGGATGTCAAAGGTCTGAGTTCGGCAATCACAGGTAGAGTTGAACTTTTGTTTGCAAATTTCATTTTGGCCCTGGATAGATTCCATTGGCACTGAGCCTCATACTCCCATCGCTGGAGTTCACTCAGAGCCTCTCTTGCTTTTACAGTGTCCCATTTTCATTGTCTGTCCATTCCTTCCTTTCCCCTCCAGAGTGGACCCTTGGAGTTAGCTACCACAGCCCATGCTCATGTTTGTTAGATAGGGAGGGCACAGCTGATACTAAGGCTGTTCACTGTCTCTGCTATGGTCACATATATATAAAACTGTTTTATGGCCCGGCCTAGAGGGAGCTTTTTCTCACTTTCACTTAATGAATAAATTAAGGGAAGTATCACAGAAGAATGAACTCCCTTTCCTTAGATTTAGCCACAGTGCTCTACAAACTTCTGCACATCAGGTGATGTGTGTTCTGATGAGCTCAGGTTGTCAGAGAGCTGAGTTGTATCATCACTGCCCAAGAGACCCTAACACAGGACTACACTGGGCTGACTATGTCTGTTCAGTGAGCACCTCAGACTGGAGAAGGGAACAGCTCTCATTCAGTCTTGCACTCTTTAGCAAGCACTTCACACACACTTGCTGACGCTGGACTTTCCTTTCTTCTTTTCCACTGCTTCCAGTTGCAGCATGTGTGACAGTGACATCATTTCCTATGTCTAGGTCCTGTTCAGAAAGCAAAGGTAGTCACAGGTTTTGCAGGATGCAAGGCCCTTTGCTGCTGGAGATCAGGCAGTGTTTCCTCAGCTGGGAAGAGAAGCCATGAGGAACGTTTGTCTGTGAAGGAGTGTTTGGACAGCGTGGGGGTTTGGTTTGGATGCCTGTCACAGGGATTTCCCATTTGATATGTCCTTCCTCCCACCAAATACAGCTAGACCAGTGTGACCTTTCTCCTAGCCACCCTCTGACTGGCCTTCTAGCCTCCCCATTCTGGCCTTTGGCTCCTGCATCCCAGCTCTTCCTTCTCTGGATTCAAGTTCCTACCTCATTCTTCCCCTATCAAGATTTACTTTGGCCCCATCATCACCACTTGAAGTGATATTCTTGGGGCCCAGCTTCCTCTGTGCTGAGCTCTGGAGCAATGCCTCTTCCATATGGCTAGCCTCTTCCTGCAGCTCAGGCTTTGGGGAAGGCCTCTTGAAGCAAGAGTGTATTTTTTTTCTTTTGGGCTCAGTCTGCCTGGGTATCATTTCTGACCACGCTGGGCTACTCCTCCTCCTTCCCCACCTTCTAGTATTTCACTCATGCATTGCCTTTGGTTCTGACTGGGATGCTTACCCATGTGCTAAGAATCCTCCAGTCTTTCACCCGTCTAGTTCACAGACTTGGAAGAAGTGAAGAGTGGCTGAGTATTCCTACCCAAAGCACAGGGCTCTCTGCAGCTGCACACTCAGCATAGGCCTAAGGCCAGCTTTGTCAGAATACACTTCAAGTTCTTTTTCAGGAAATGAATAGCTCAGGGAATGGTAATGGGCTACAGATCCCCTTTTTGGCTTCAGGGCTGTCAGTCTATCAGCTCTTGCAAGCATTAAAATTCATGTAAAAAGAAGGGGGTTGTGGAGACCCTTTTCTCTGGACAGCTCAAACTGTACAAAAGCTGTGTAAGTTACAGTTGTGTAAGTTCATGCTGCTTCACATATCTGAAGAATGTGACTAGGAAGTGAGTTTCTCAGCGACACAGAAAAAATATTTCCTGTCATCTGGCTCTGCACTGAAATTGTGAAGTGCATATTTTAAAGCTCTAACACCTCACGAAAAACGTTGCAAACTATTCTATTTTGAGACAGTTCTGCCAATGCTGCATATATTTCTTCTATATCTTTTCCCTTGTTGTTTCATACAAGGATATTTGCATGAAAACAGCATCTTTGTTGCTTAGCTCACTTGTTCCTATTGCCTCTTCCCACTAGATGCCAATCCTCTGTGCATGGCATCACAGTTATTTGCTGTGGAACTGATTGTGTCACAAAGATCAGATTCTTCAAGTATGCGTAGCTGTGTATCCCACTGTACTTGCCATATGTGCCTTGCACACCAGACCAGAAGTTTTTTGAACAGTGTCTGTCGGGCTACACATGCATCATGTGCCCCTTGTGATCCCATAGAAGGGCATAATGGGTGGGACAGATGTGACTCTTTCTTGATTCCCTCTTACTGCCTGTGGCAGCAAAACAGAACTTGAAGCGTGTCCGACTTGCTAATTCTTAGGTCAGGCTAAGCTTCTTCAGAATCTACTAAAGTCTTCAGAACTACTTCTGATTTGTTATCTTTGACAGTTGTGAACTAATCCTACCCTGGACCAAATTCTACTTGGTCAAACCCTACTGTATAGGGCTCCTTAACCTGGTGGACTCAAAACTTATGGGCTTCAAGCCCTGTCCATCTTGTAATGGACTAATACCCCTGAAGGATGACTGTACTAGGTACTTCTTCTGCCTGGGGGATTCACCCATTCTGAGCAGATGCTCAGTATACTTGTCTTTCTCTGATAGAATGCCCAAGATGTGAGGCTGAAAGACTGCCTTGTGGAGCAGTCCATGAAGGGCTCCTCAGACCCTGAGGAAACAAGCCCCGAAATCCTACTAGTGGACAAGCCAGCATCATCCAGTGCCCTGTGGGGGAAACAGGTAATGCTTCAGAACTGCATGGAGAAAACTTTACCAAGGAAAAGATCTGGCGCCAACACCCCTGGCACCGAAGCCATATATCAGTGTTGAAGCTGGCACCAGTACCTCCAGTGTCAAAGTTGGGCACTGACTGGGGCCACTCTGAACACCAAAGCTGAAGAAGGATCACAATGTCCTTGCATAGGGATAGACACAGCAAAGCCTTCAGAGAAAAGTCATGAGGGCCTATAATGCGTCAAGAGCTGGGGAAGAAGACCCCACCTGTGATGCAGCAGACTCCATTGGTGCCAGACCTATCTTCAAAGATGCCTTCAGCACCGACCCCCAACCTCAGGGATGACACTACGGTAGAATCAGATCCACTGTTGGTACTGAGGTGCTTACTGGCAACGGTACAGACTCGGGTACCCACAGTACCTTCACATCAGTGCTGCCCCTAGAAGAGGTTTACTCTTCCTTACCATCACTGGTATATGCGTTCTCCGCAACATCAAGTAGAGAACCCTCTCTCCTGAAGACAGACACTACCAAAGACCTACAAGCTTCTACAGACTTTTGTCTCCACTGACCTATCAACGTTTGCACTGGACTGGCCATTACCCAGCAAACTGAGCATCCTCTTGTGGCATGGGGATGTTGCCCTTTTGGGGATACTGGGAGGCGGTTGCTGGGTTGGCTTTGAATATCTTGTTAATTTGTAAAGCACTTAATCACAAATGATACATACAAAGCTAATTCTATCATGCTAAACAAAGTAACAATGTTCAGGTACCGCTTTCAAAGCTGTACATGCTTTCAAATGCTTTTTATTGCACAAGAAAAAATGCATATGTTGGTTCTACACTTGCAAGTGGCAGCTGGCCAGTGAAGACTACATATTCAGGATTTTAGAAGCAGTTACAGGTGGAGGAATATAACGTTGCCTGATTATTGTATGACTTCATGCATAAATAAGGATTTTTTTTATAAAAGAAAAGCAAGCCATATTTTGCATCAAAATAGGAATACACACCTCTACCTCGATATAATGCTGTTCTCGGGAGCCAAACAATCTTACTGCATTATAGGTGAAACTGTGTTATATTGAACTTGCTTTGATCCACCAGAGTGCGCAGCCCCACCCCCCCGGAGCACTGCTTTACTGCGTTATATCCGAATTCGTGTTATATCGGGTCGCGTTATATCGAGGTAGCGGTGTATTTTTAATTTATTCCCAAAGCAAATATATTAAGGCAACAAGTATATCACTGTTAAATAGTCCACTGTTTTGAGGGGGAGATGAGAATCTACCATAGGTATCTTCAGTTGTACACATTAGAGTTGTGCATTATATTTTACAATAACAATTTGCACTTATAGCACTAATTACCTGAGAGTAACAAAGCACTGCTATTAATGAATGAATGAATGAATGATCACATCACTAGGAGGTATGGTAGTGTATTAGCCCTATTCTGCAGAAAACTGAGACACAGAGATGTGTGCCCAAAGTCAGTTACAGCCTGATTTTTCAGCGATGCTGAGCACCTTGTGACTCTAATTGAAGTTAACCGAACTGTATGTGCTCCATAACTCTGACAATTAAGGTCAGAGCTGAAAGCAGTGGTGGAGCCAAAAATGGACCTCATATTTCAATGCAGCTACACTGATTTACACAAGGTGAAAATCTAGCCCCAAAAGTCTTGGATCCCAGTCATTTATTCCAGCTATTCTTCCTTCTGTTTGTAATGCATCCTGGCACAACTTATTGCTGTATTGGCTAGAAAGCGTTCTTTACCAAAAAAAAAAGCTAGTGCCCAGCACCTGAGGGAGAATTAATTAGCTTTCCTGTGCCACATACCTTCATGAAATCTCTTTTAGGAAGGAAATCATCAGACATGTTCCCTGGTTGGGTGAGTGGATGGATGGGAACACACTGCGGTCTGCAGGGATCCTTCAGGCCATTTTTCCTTCTCCGTTTTGATCTTTTCCCCTTTTGAGCAAGTCCCTCTCTTTCCTGATGCTCTGCCTATGTTGCTCTGAATTATAAAGGTGCTGCTGCTATGGAGCCTTGTTCCAAGATAGACCCAGTTCTATTGCAAATGAGTTAAGCCTGCCAGGAGGAACAAATTGAATACTGTTCTTTCCCTTTCTGTTTTTAGCAGCTGCTATTATCTTGTCTCCTGTGGGACAGGAAGAAGCTTACCAGTCTGCACTAGCAGTGCCCCATGGATCAGCTTTTTGGGTGGCACTGCTGCTTCTGGAGACTGAGGATTTTGTCACTTGTTTGCATAAAACTCAGATCTCTCAGGTAGCTTTTTAGGCAGTTTAGGTGACTGGGACAAGTGATGCTGCTCAGTATACAACTTTTAGAGGTATTGTCCACCACTCCAAAAACCACATCCATTGGAACTTCAGAATAGGGAGATGGGGTTGCGTGTGCTGTATTACAACCAGAAAGTTGGGGATCAAACAATACAGGGGTGAGAATGACACAAAGGAGCTTCTTAAATGGGAGCTTGAACCCTTGTTGTAATTACATGGATAGTGGATTTATTCTGCAATTCCCTGTCCCAAACCTGAAAATATATACATTGAAAAAGAGGCATGTGACTATCTGGGACTCTCAGGGTAAGCAGAGTGGTATATGCAAACTCTTAATGGAACAAGAAGAGGTAAACTCCAGATGGACCATGTGTAACCCACACACATTTGGGATGTGGTGTTCTGTCCCATCTAGTTGCACTGAGACCACTGAGAGAGAGAGTTAAATGAGTTTGCTCTACAGCTGTAGTTAACAGCCAGTTGGCTTTTAGCTCATGCAGTAGAGCAGGGGTTCTCAGACTTTTGTCCTGGGGACCTCTTTCACATAGTAAGCCTCTGAGTGCGACCCCCCCCCTTATACATTAAAAACACTTTTTAATATATTTAACACCATTATAAATGCTGGAGGTAAAGCAGGGTTTGGGGTGGAGGCCAACAGCTCGCGACCCCCAATGTAATAACCTTGTGACCCTCTGAGGGGTCCTGACCCCCCAGTTTGAGAACCCCTGCAGTAGAGGATTATGCACTAAGCTCCAGAGGTCCCAGGTTCGATCCCGCCTGCCCATGACCAGGGTCTGTCGGTGTTACACATGCATACTCTAGATAGAGTGTGGGTTTGCATGAATGCTCTAGATGTGTATGGGTGCATGGGGCACTCTGGATTCGTCACATACACTTCACTGTTTATTTTGAATTACTCAAAAATACATTCTGATTCATGTGTTAACTGAGATATAGAATCATAGAAGATTAGGGTTGGAAGAGACCTCAGGGGGTCATCTAATCCAACCCCCTGATTCGCTTATGTTTTATGTAAGGAGGAGAGAAATAAGGGTTATGTTTATCCCTGATATGCTTATGTTTCTGTAAGGAGGAGAGAAATAAGGGTTAGAGGGAGGTAAGTTTCCTCTGCTTTTCACTTGTCCATCTCGCATCATCAAAGACTCAGAGCTGTGCTAACTTGTCCTTTAGGCTGAGGAGAGCTGGCCACCGCTCTCTGTGGGGCTCATCAGTTCTGCTGCTGTGTTTGGTTGGCGGAGGTTCTTTGAGAGTAGCATGAGCCTTCTTCCTCCTCTGTCCGCCCCTCCTGCAAGCTGCGTTTGCTGTCTCTGCAGTGCACCCACCTGCTGCCAACCTGCTGCCAACCTGGGGAGCAAGATGCCGACCTCAGGAAGAAATGCTAGTTTAACAATAAAATACAGCAACGCCGCATCCGTCTCGTGGAGTTAATGGCACACAAGAGGGTTTGCAAAATGGACTGAGGGAAAACTCTTTAGTAATTTAATTCTGCTGCAGATTTTGTGCTGCGGAGAGTAGAATCTCCACCACTAGCTACTGCAGCTAAACAAGCATGGTCCCTCAGGAGAGTTCAGCACTGTAACTCTCAGCAAACACGGCCAGGGAATGAGTTCCTGAGCTGGCATACTGTGCATGTACCTTTTTTTAAAAAAAGGATCATAGCATGAAAACAACCTGCATTAAAGGGAACTGATTTGAATACCAACCTCTATGCTCTGCCAGCTGCTCTAGTGCACTGATTCTCAGTGAATTATTTTAGACCACAGAAATCTTGTGGCATTAAGTTATGTCCTATTATGCTCCCATTGAAATCAATAACAAAGCATGACTTCAGTGGGAGCAGGATTGGACCCAACAGGCCTTGTGCAGCATAGAATTAAGCAGCACAAGAGAATGGAACAAACGAATCCCTGGAAGGAAGTACACCGAGTCCTAGGGAGAATTTTAGCTCAGTGTATCCTCTGAAAAGCAAGAACACAATCAGTATCTCAAACCCCTGCATTAAATATTTTCAAAATTTAAACAAACGTACGTGTCTACTTTAAGAATTTGTCAGATCATGTGGCCCTGATCCGTCTGAACCAATCTCCATGGAATAGTCCTGGTGTGAATTAAGAGGCTACCTTGAGCAGTGTAGGGCTGGCAGAATAGTTCTCCTGCCCACCATATAGCCCTGGCACAGTGGTATGCCCAGGAGGAAAGGGCTGTTCTGAGCTAGTAGAGTGGCGCATAAGGCCTCTCTAACTTGCACTGGGAGCCTGAATCAGAATTAAGGAGTTGATAAAGTGGCTTAAAACAACCTTTGCGCACACCGCCTCCCGCAAGCTGTGCTTCCTGAGAGGTGCTGCACATTCACTATGATCCACAGTCCACATTTGTATGGAGCCTCAGCTGACAAACTTCTACTTTGTTGCATCCTCAGTAAAACTAATTTAAATATTTGGGGCATATCAACTAATCCAGACATGATCAACAATATTTTTTAATTGGAGAGAGACCAGTGGAGGACAACGAAAATGATTAGGGGGCTGGGGCACATGACTTATGAGGAGAGGCTGAGGGAACTGGGCTTATTTAGTCTGCAGAAGAGAAGAGTGAGGAAGGATTTGAAAGCAGCCTCCAACTACCTGAAGGGGGTTCCAAAGAGGATGGAGCTCGGCTGTTCTCAGTGGTGGCAG